GACGCCAGTCTTCCCGCGTAGCTGCCCAATTCAGCAGGAGCGACCCCAAAGCTGTAACATCTCTTCTCCGCGCGTGAGCTGAGCTGTGGCCCGTCCCAAGACGTGCAGCGGTTTCCCACCGATCGTTTTTGGTCGTGCCCTGCCGGATGTGAGGGCGTCGGCCGGTGCAGCGTCTCGCAGCGGTGGCCGCGGCACGGCGCGCGGCCCTGGTGACCGGCCGGCGCCGCCGTCGGCAGGAGCGGAGGCCGCGCCGTCACGTTTGACCGGATGGCGGCGCGGGCTGACCTCGAGTCTCGGTTGCTGGTCGGCGCCAGCCCGGCCTGCTGTCGGCTGCACCGGCCCCGCTCCCACACACAGCTGCTGTGAGCCGGCCGCTGGCCGACCTGGCCCGTAGTGCACGCTCCACGCTTGGAAGACTCCGTGCTGAGATGGCCACCGGTGTGCAGGCCTGGCCGCGGCCAGCCCGCAGCTCGGATCACGACGTATGTGTGAAATCACCGGAGGTCATCGCTAAGATGGCCCTTCTGTTGGCTTGAGGTCATCTGAGGCGTGGCTGAGACTGTCTCCGCTGGAGGGAGTCGCAGCTCCGAGCCGTCTGTCGGGCCACACGGGAATCGCTGCTGCCCCGATCCCGTCCCCGTTCTCATTCCCGTCCCCTTCTCCGTCCCCGTCCCCATCTCCATACCCATTTTCGTCCTCGGCGCCGGCTGCCCGTCGGCCAGACCTTACGAAACGTCGCCGCCGGCTGCCGCGCCGCTGACTTGCTGACGTGGACGCTGCTGGTTTGAGGCCGTCGGCCTCTGGACTGCCCCAGCTTCCTCGTCTTCCAGCAGTGCCGTGCAGTTGTGGCCAGCCGGCGGCTCGGTGGCTGGCTTCCTGGATGCAGCGACGTGGATGTGCGCCATATGTGTGAAGTTGTAGTTTGGTGTGGGTTGAAGTCTTTAACATTTTACTCAACTTCTATGGGCTTTGTCGTTTTGTACACCTGCTCATGTTTCCGCAGATTTATTTGTTACATATCAGTGGTGCGTCATTTTTTAGTGAACGCTTGCTGTCGAATGTGTTGCGTGATTTGTCATACTCCGCGTCCTTTACTGTCCTGTGAGCAACTCCAAGCGTCATGGTTACGACCACACGTTTGTTTCTGTTCCACCCTGAATGACATGTGCAATAGGGAGTACATCGTGGCGTTTAAAGGGCGTCCCTAGTCGAAATGCACGTTCCTTGTGCTGTTTTTCGTAGCTTTGCCCGGGGTATTTGTAGAGGTAGTTTGTCAGCTTTTCAATGCATATCGTAACGGCCTGTATGCCATGCTGTTTGCGTGTCGTCGAACCAAGGTACAAACGTTACGGCCACTGCCATTTGCGGATCCAATCGCTAGACCGCTGCGAGTCGTCCGCTGTTGGCGGGCGGCGGCGGGACGTGCTCGCAGGTCCCGCCGAGCTCAGCGTGCGGCGTGGACCGCTAGCAGAGTAGTCCGCTGTCGGCGGGCGGCGGCGGGACGTGCTCGCAGGTCCCGCCGAGCTCGCGTGCGGCGTGGACCGCTAGCAGAGTAGTCCGCTGTCGGCGGGCGGCGGCGGGACGTGCTCGCAGGTCCCGCCGAGCTCGCGTGCGGCGTGGACCGCTAGCAGAGTAGTCCGCTGTCGGCGGGCGGCGGCGGGACGTGCTCGCAGGTCCCACCAGGCTCGCGTGCGGCGCCGCTCCAGCAGCATGAAGCTTACTCCCGGCCTCTGCAGTCGCTGTGTCGTGAGCGATGTCGCGACGGACAGCGGCGCCGTCGGCCAGCGCGTGTGAGGCGGCCGCCCAGACGGGCCCTCCCCGGCTTCGGTCATCGACAGGCCGGGAAGCTGACCAGCTGACTCATGTCCCGACCGAACGTAGTGCAATGATTCGGCTTCCACGCTGTATTGGAGGCGGCCGGGCCACCAGTGACTTGTTTTAGCTGTTACTGCTCACTGTTGAGTGCAGAATACGAGCAGCGACGGAACTGTTGTCGCGAATGTTTCGCCAGTTGCTTTTTTATAGTTAGCCATCCTACTTGTTGGGCTAGCAATCTGCCTGTCAGTCGCGGATATTGTCGTACACAGGTGGTCACGTGCTGCAACTAAGAGGCGGCTGCGTGTTTATGCCGTGCCTTCTCATCTGTTGACATTGGCCGACCCAGATGATGCGTGTGCGATTCTGATGGATTGTGGAGCAACAGATGGTATGATGGTGGTCAGTTCGTGTAGTTGCTGTGGTTCTGTGCAATACATAAACAACCGGTGTAATAAATAGCTCACCGTCAGCAAAGCATCACAGCCTCTATATGGTCGTAGCGGGTGAGCCTTCAGGTCGGGAGTCGTACCTGAACAGCAATGGTGTCAGCGTGACTGGTCCCGCCCGCCAGACCCGCACGTTTGTTTGGCGTCAATATCTTCACAACTGCTGGTCGGGGAACCATGGTACTTGAAGCAGCAAGGGGCTGAATCCTTCCTCAGCCGCGCTGTACGCAATTTTGAAACACTTCCGAGGGGGGGGGGGGGGGCAAACGGACGGTCAATGGCAGTAATTGATCCGATGTGCGCGGCGCATCAGGTGCGCTCGAGCGCAGGCTTCCGTGTTGGAGCGTTTTTAGCGGCTGGTGTCGGTTCTCGGCGGCCAGGCAGGACATATTTGAGATTTCATGACGTGGGCAAATGTGCCGCCTTGCAAAGCACGGCAGTCTCAGCCATGCCCAACACAGAGGCGCAGCCGGTCGCCGTTTTCAGAAGAGCGTTCTGTGTTCAAGGCAGATCTGCCTTGAATACGGAGCGATGATATAAGCCAAAATATTGAGCCTCACTGACCACGCAGTCTCCACTTTGAGCATTTGCGTCTCTCGGAGTATTTCCGCCAATCACAAAATTAATTGATTACAAATTCTCGCTTTCGTTGACTCAGATCGCTAAGCCACCAGTTTCAACAGATAGCAGGCTAGATCAAGGCCTTTCATGCTCCCAGGTAAAAGCGATAAAATTAATTAGACAACCAGAATGGCTACATCCATGACCAAAATACATACTCTGATCACCGGCTGAATCAGCAAGCCGAAACGGCCAGTTAATCACTAGCAATGTGATGCATCATCAGTGGTGCCGGTTCAAATCTGGAGTAGTAAAACGACCAGATGTCAGCGCTAAAACATCCGATTGCAAGAGGAAGGGCATGAACAATCACCAAAACAGCTTGAAATCTTAACCAAAAACGCAACTTCTCACCTTCCGCAGCTTAACTGGCGTCGGCTCCTGGCGATTCCAACCGACCCGTGGCGGTATGGGGGTTCAAGTCACCATGTATACGCTCGCGGTCACGGTTCTGAAACTAGCGGGAGGGGGCGCTGTCCAGTGAGAACTCATCACGTAGGGGTGTTAGTGGTCTGGGGGAGGGCCTCCACATTCTCTTGTCTGTGTCTATGTGCGCTCGCCATTTGACTTCCCACTTGCATGGCGCGCGGCTGGTGCCAGCGGCTATTCATTGTTCGGGAGGCCAAAGGGTTGGGAGAACCGTACCAAGCATTACGGTGCATTATAGTTTTTCCATAAAGTTCTGCCGCAGAAGTGGGATTTCACGGCAGGAAGGTGGAGTCGGGGCACGCAGCAATCCAGCGCTGTGCGAATGTTGATCTCAAAATCATCAATTAAAAAGGGGTTGGGAAGAAAATGATGACAACAATCAGCCGGCCAGACACGTATATGGACCACAGTTAAGCCTATCGGGTCCGCTGCTGAAACGGCCTAGGCCCGCCTCGGGGTTCGGGCCTGGGGACTCCTGTGTTTAGTGCTGGGACCTGTGACTGGCAGGGCCTCCCCGTTGTCTCATTGTAGACCTTTTCATTTCCACAACTCGTATTTCCTTGAAATGTCGGAGCCAGAGGAACCTGGCCAACTCAATGGGCCCTCTGACATTCAGGGTTCCGTCCCGTTCCTCTTCAGTAAAACGTGCCCCTGGTCGAATCGGAGCCCCTTGCCGACACAGGCTGCCCTGTTTAGCGCTCTGGACCCCTGACCAATGCAAGGAGCCACCCTGTTTCAGTTACCCCGATCAGCGCAGGAGGCCAGTAACGTAATCGTGAACTCCGGCCTTGCCGTTGTCTCGAAAATGAGCCCCCCGCAGCCGGTAATCACCGAACTACATAAAGACCTTCATCAGCCCGGTAATCCCCGACAGGAGCGCGAGCTCCTTCAGTCGACTTTTGAGGGCCAAGCCCACGGGCCGGGGTCGTTCTCCGGCCAGCCCTTCTGCCCTTGAATCGGGCCCTTAATAGCCTGTCCCGAGGGGCCAGACATCCCCCAGGGTCTCGAGGGTACAAACTCAACACAGATCAGCGACTCGCCCTCAGATCAGACCGCTATCTCTGCACAGATAGCAAGGCCACTCAAAACCGGTGCTCGGCAAATTATCACCATGACTGTTTCTCGCGTGAATAACGTCACCTTGTACCCTTCTTGCACGAACAACGGACGCACGTTTTGATAGCGATGTCTCTTGCTTGGACCGGACAGCTAATTTTCAGTGCGATGCATGAACTAGCCTGCGTTTGCCACGAGCTGCTTGCCACTTTGCCACGAGCTCCTTCTGTTGAAATGCCACGAAGCACGAATTTCGAATGCTTTGATCAATCCCTTTTGTTTCCAAACTTGGCCTAAATAGGCCTAGGTTTTGGAATTATCGACATGATTCACCTCGTTCTTTGCGCGCAACGGATGGTATATTGCTGACGGTAAATGTTGGATGTTTCTGCGCGAAAGATTATTGTTTAGGTGTGGTGTGAAGCTACCCAGGATTAGGCACGCACTGTCTGGCTTGTTTAGTCCACCCCGCTAGTCAAGCAGCGTTGTTCACAACTCCCGGACCAAAAGCGGAATAGCGAACATTCTCATTTTAATCAGCATTATTCCTGATATTCCACCTGACCACAGTGCTTCCCGGTTGAGGATTTCATGAGCATTCGTTGCCAGAGACTGTTGCAGTTTCGGACATACCTGTATTGACGAGAACCTGCATAAAGGCGAAACCACACACACGCAATCGAGACACATGTGGCGCAGGGCAGCACGCGAGCCGTGTCGTCCGCCCCTCCGCGCGGCCGATATCAGCGCTTAAGGCCGCGGCAGTCGTCGAACACGTCAACATATCCCTATATACAGCCGGCCGACGCGACGCGCGGCGACGTGGAATGTGAGCACAAGTCCAGAGACGTGCGTGGCGCCCCTCCCCCTGGCAACATTCCCGGAAACAGTGCGCCGATTCGTCGGTGAACGGCCGCGCCGAGGGATCGCACCACCACCCGGTGCGCCACCGCCGCCGCCCGCCGGCGCTATTGCTGCCGGCCAGCGGGCCACCAGCAGCGCCAGACCCGAGGCGGAGACTGCCCGACGCCCGGCATCCGGGCCGGCCAGCGGACCACCAGCAGCGCCACACCCGAGGCGGAGACTGCCCGACGCCCGGCATCCGGGCCGGCCAGCGGACCACCAGCAGCGCCACACCCGAGGCGGAGACTGCCCGACGCCCGGCATCCGGGCCGGCCAGCGGACCACCAGCAGCGCCACACCCGAGGCGGAGACTGCCCGACGCCCGGCATCCGGGCCGGCCAGCGGACCACCAGCAGCGCCACACCCGAGGCGGAGACTGCCCGACGCCCGGCATCCGGGCCGGCCAGCGGACCACCAGCAGCGCCACACCCGAGGCGGAGACTGCCCGACGCCCGGCATCCGGGCCGGCCAGCGGACCACCAGCAGCGCCACACCCGAGGCGGAGACTGCCCGACGCCCGGCATCCGGGCCACCGCGCTGCGACGTTATGGAAGGGTTTGTCGCAGTGGCTGGCGCCGATGTGGCCATAGCACGGGGCCGAGGCGGACCAGGCAGAGGTGGTCACGTCTTCGGCCGCGGCCCGTATCGCCCGCCTGATCAACCCTACCGACCCCTCGCACTGCGTCCTTCCCGACGCTCACACGACCCAGCCGGCCCGGGCCGCCGGACCAGGCTGGGCAGGCAGCCGAAGAGTGTCGCGGGCGGGCAGGCATGACGCACCAGACCACAACGGACTGGACCGCACCAACCGGACTGGACCGGACCGGACCGGACCGGACCTGGACTGGACTGGACTGGACTGGACTGGACTGGACTGGACCGGACTGGACAGGACCGGACCGGATTGGACTGGACCGGACCGGATTGGACTGGACCGTACCGACCGGACCGGACCAAACACGTACCCGCACTGGCTGGACGTCCGCCGCACGCTGCGTGCGTTAATTTCTTCCGGCAGGTCACCAACTAAAACAATTATGAGTAATTTGTACACGCTGGATTGCAAGTCAATAAGTAAAATGCGTATCTCTCCTCACTCCTCGGGAATCTAACACGGGGGGCCAGCGAGAGTGAGTCAGCATACCACGACGGCTTGCGGCCCCGGCCCAGCAATAGCGGGACATCTCTCCAAACGGCCCCGGCGCCGGACCGCTGCGGCAAATTTCTCCTGCTGTTTATCACGTTAACTAAGCACAGCACAGGACATTCGCACGCGAGTGGCAAACAGGGCGCCGGACGTTCGTCAGCGCCGCCACGCGGACCAAAAATAAACCACATAGCCACTCATTGACGCCGCCACGCGGACAAAAAATAAACCACACATAGTCGCCAGCAGTAGGTCTGGTCGTCGGGTCATTTGATTTTTATCGGTCACACTGGCCGGGTCATGCCTCCCCGGCGCGTCTGCCGTCCGGCGGCGCTGGACGAGCTCAGGGTCAGTTGTCGCCGCCGGCCGCCGCGCTGGTGCCGGCGCCCTCGTCGGCCGGCGCCGGGTGCTTGATGAAGCCGTTGGTGGCAGGCGCCGCGGGCAGCTGGTTCTCCTCGCTACTGCTGCTCACCTCCTCGCTCGAGTCGCTGCGCGAGTCCCCCTGGATCTGCGGGGTCATGACGGGCGTCTGTTCACCATGCCAAAGACCTCGCTCCGCGGTCGAGCGATGCAACACGTCTCGGAGGAACGGCTTGTGCGAGCGATAAACGTTGATTCGTGGATTCTGGGAACCCGGGTCCTCATACACTTTCGCACGAAAGATAAGATAGCTGAATGTCTTCCAACATGGCCGGAGTAATTGTCGTGTATGATAAACAGAGCGGTCCCACGAATCTGCACCCCGACTGTGACGCCAGCTGGATGCGTGTACAGCTGTGACAGGTCATCAGTTGCCATGGTCGCGACCAGAGACGATGCTGACGCTGACGGGCCAGCCGGCCGGCGTGGAGCGGGCGTCTGGCGGTGTCGCCACCGCCGCCCAGCGCCGGCAGCGGCCACGAGCCTGGCTACGGAGCAGAGTGGCCCAGGCCCCGTCCGCCCGTTGCTGATCCCAGTCCCGGTGCCGGCGTCCCCGGCTCTCGCTGAAGCCCGGCGGGCCCGGCCGCCGTCATTTACCTGACCGGCGTTCAACGCCTGGTACGCCATCAGCAGAATGTAGTAGGTCCAGATGCAGTGCAGTACTAGCAGCCCCATCAGCATGCCGTTGAAGATGTAATAGGCCGGGAAGAACCGGACTATATAGGTGGCGTCGATGGTGGTGCTGGGGACGGTTGGACCCCGCTGTCATGGGAGCCGCGCTCCGTGGGGAGCACACGGTGCCGACGGTGACAGCAAGCACAGAACAAACGCAGACTGATGCACAAACAGCAACTGACGGCCAGGTGAACAGTGGCAATGTGACAATTCAATCATAATTACACAATAGATTAGTAGGCTACGGCTAGGAGATGGAACTGCGTTAATTTGCGTACCAATAACCGAGTTACATGAGAAGAAACAGTGAGAGCTGAAGAGAAATAAAAGCGACGAGGAAGTGAAAGAGAAGTAGATGACAATAGGTATACAAAGGCAAACAAGGAGAGCCAAGGATGGGACATTGCAGGAGAACAAAACACTAAACTGACTTAATGAACGGGCACGAACGAAACTGGGGCGACGGCTATGGAATATGTACGTATTTCGACGACACACCAAGCAGCTCCCAAAGCCCTATTCAAAGCAAGAGGCATCAGTGACGCCACTTATTATATTTGATTTCTGTCGGGGAAGATGAAGGCGATGTTTGATTCCCTTTGGTGGACATGTTATCCTGTCTGCCGGTATTGGTAACGCGGTTCGAGTTATTCCCCTACACACTACAAATTAGCATTGTACTCAAGAGCCAGAGTTCGTTTTTTACACCATTGGGTACATGGGAACTTCAGGCCTGCTTTCTTCTACAAAAACCGCGGAGACCCAGCCTCAAACCCCAGGAACATTGGGAAAGGGGTTGCCTCAAAGCACGTGGGTAGTTTCGCCGACATCCAGAGCCACGTGCCGTTCACCGTGTGAATTAAATTTTGTTGTCTCCTAAATTTGTTAGTTCCTGTCTTGGTGTGCCGATAATGCATCTAGCAATACGTGTCGTGAAACGTAGCGGTATGAGCTTGACCGGTTAGGATGACAGCATAACACGATGACGGCCCGCCGCGCGGCACCAAAGCTCGTGTTCTCCAGGCCAGTACGGTAATAGCACAGACGGAATGGCAATAATGGGGGGGGGGGGGGGGGGTCGATGCCAGGGTTGGAGGGGGGTAAATATATTTACATCACATGGATGGAATGATGCAAGACAAAAAAAACAAATCCGAAAGGGCGGCTGTATTCAAGAATGGATGCGGAGAGGGATACCAAGAACATGACAGACAGGATACACACAGGGACGAAAAAGTGTGGGCGGTTCGCTTACGAGAACGAAAAGGGGAAAAATCTTGGTAAAAACAACAGAGGTACAGATTTCGACAAGATGTTCAAAGAAATAAACTAAGATTAAACCCTACCCCACGCAGGTCAGTATTGGGCGTAAAAGCACCGATATCGTGTCGCTGAGCACGGCTAGAGTCGTGTGGGGAGCGTGCAATGCACTGTGACTGGAGGGGCAATCACAGCAGTCAACGGCCACGGCAGGTGGAGAAGCCTGAAAACGGACACGAGGCGAGGCGGGGCGGGGCGGGGCGGGGCGGGGCGGGGCGGGGCGGGGCGGGGCGGGGCAGGGCAGGGCAGGGCAGGGCAGGGCAGGGCAGGGCAGGGCAGGGCAGGGCAGGGCAGGGCAGGGCAGGGCAGGGCAGGGCAGGGCGTGTTGGGAAGGTTAGGGCGGGGCGGGGCGGGGCGGGCCGAGCTGTGGGCAGGTCTGGGGGGTGGGAGGCGGAACGGGCCAGTCGGCACAACGGCCCCGTCCGTGTCAGCGCCGAGAGCGCGGCCCCCTGAACTGCCACACGCCACACATCCCAGAGCGCGGCATATTCCAACCATCCACGCCTGTCCGAGGAGGTGCGCGCTGCACTGCTGGTAGGTGCGTAACATGGTCGGGAGGCAGACCGTAGTCGCATGTCGGGGACCTATTTATCATCGTGGGTCGTCCCTGTTCTTGATTGATCTGACCAGCTGTTGTGAGTAGCTACCGCTGTGCGGATTTCTGTGTGGAAAGTGGACAGCAACAAACAATTCTGACGCGTCACGCAGCGCGCTTGAATGCTAACTGCCATCCTGGCGTGGTGATCACCGGAAACGTCATCCCTGCCAAATATCCTTGAGAAGTCGGGGCCCAATTTCACTGCCTAATTCCTCAAACCTGCCCGTATGTGGCGACGCCTGCACAGACGTGCACGCGTCGGAGCGTGCAGCACCGCGCGGCGCCGGTGCCCCCAGGCAGCCGCGGCCTGCTGCTCGCGGCCGGCCGGTAGCGGGTCGTGCCCGGGTCAGGGAGGCGGGGCGGACCGTGTGTGGGCTGGTGTTGTCGTGTCAGTTTCGTTAGCCGTGCCCGGGCGCCGGCCACCACGTTTACAGGGCTAGCGCAGGCGGTTAGGGCGGGAGCCGCGCCGCCACCCCGGCCAGCGGCGCGCGCGCCGGCGCCGGCCGCCCAGCCACCCAGCGTCAGACGGGCACAGGGTGCCACAGAGACACGCGCAGCCCAGCAGACAGAGAGCCAGACGGCCAGACACACAGCCAGCATTAGAGAGACGGTGAGTGGGTGAGTGACAGAGAGTGACAGCCAAAGAGAAAGAGAGAGACAGCGGCTCCCAGGTGGAGCGGGAAGGCCAGCGGGTGGGGTGCTGCGGCGTCTACTCACCGTTCGGGCAGGGCCAGGATGGGAAGGCCGCGCGGGAACAGCGCACACGTGGGGGGTTCGTCGAATAGGTACGTGCTGGAGAAAGAGAAAGAGCGCGGTCCAGACAGACGATCACGACTCGACGGAGGACTGGGCGGAGCGACGGTGCTGTGACCCGGGAGACTGACCCGACCCGACCCGACCCGACCCGACCCGACCCGACCCGACCCGACCCGTGCCCTGCGTCTCCCACCCGCATCGTCGGCCTGCCGGCCGCGCGACAGCCAATGCCACCCGTTGAACAGTCGATTCTGAAGTGGGAGTCACCAGAAGGCGGACAAGCCACCCAGCCGGTGGCACGCTTCGAGTGTTTGAACTCTAACACGGGCTCAGCTATCTTGCCGACGGGGCAGACTCGGCGGAAGGCCTCCGAGGCCGGAGCCGGGCAGGACGCGGCCGGCCGGCCGGCCGGCGCCGTGCGTCTGTGGTGCCCGGTCGAGACAGCTGCCCGGGAGCCCGACCCGCCCGACAGGAGGGCGAGGACGGGGCACGGGACGGGCCAGGCCAGGTCAGGCCAGGTCAGGTCAGGTCAGGTCAGATGCAGGTCACAGCAGACCGTGGGCCGGCCCAGTCCGCCTCGCAGACCTCAGGCGCGCTGCAAAACCTCAACAGAACATACTCAGCTAAAAACTACCGACAGGCAAGAATGCAGGAATGCACTAAAACACACAACCAACCGCGGGCGACTCCCACTTGGTCCCGACACTTGCCTAGGCGATACAAAGGTCATACAACTGTGAAACACAGACATGTACATGAATACGGTGCGCCGTGCCGGTCGAGCTTTCAACGCGTGCACTCATACGGGCCGCGGCGCAGCTGCATGCGGGCGCCCAGCTCCGCACCGGAGCACCCCCCACCCGCCACCTCCCCAGCCGGCGCCCGCGCCGAGCCGCACGACCAACGGCGGCACGCGGCGCGCACACCCGGCCGGACTGGAGTGGCGCAGTCCGATGCAACCCAAAAATCGGCTTTCAGAAGCGGCAGTCTCCGCTGATTGCTTCGGCTGGGCCGGCCGGGGCGGGGACGCGCCAGGCCGGGCTCTCCGAGCGTGGCCCGCGCCGCCAGCCGGCCCGGTCAGCCGGCCAGACCGTGAGGCTGGCTCTGCAGCGCTGCCGGCCCCGACGCCGGCCGGGGACACACCCGTCCACCCCAGCCATGCACCCGTCCCCGGCCCATCGAACCGCACCGTCCGCTGACACCGCACCGGCCCTCAGGCGACGTGTCGGGCCACGTGACCAGCCAGGCCACGACGCGCCGGGATGGGCCGGTTCACAAGCTGCTGTCACGTGACCTTCCTGAGCGTCACAAGCGGCCAGAGTGCGTCCGTGGCGGGCGTCATCACGTGACCGACCCAACGACGGCAGCGGCTCGTCAGCGTACAGTCACGTGAGTGCCCCGGCCAGCCTGAGGCTCGCCCCCGTGTCGGCAGCGCCGTAGGCCGCCAACGGAAGCGCGTCGCGATGAGATCGGCACCACGCGCACACAAACATCGACCATGTGTCATGCAGAAGCGCGACAGACCCCGGAGTACGGCGTCCGGCCCAGCGACAGAGCGAGAGAAAGACAGAGTGAATGAGAGCGTGAATGAGAGAGTGAGAAAGAGGGGGAGAGAGAGAGAGAGACAGAGAGAGAGAGAGAGAGAGAGAGAGACAGAGAGAGAGAGACAGAGAGAGAGAGAGAGAGAGAGAGAGAGAGAGAGAGAGAGAGAGAGAGAGAGAGAGAGAGAGAGAGAGAGAGAGAGAGAGAGAGAGAGAGAGAGAGAGAGGAAGAGAGAGAGAGAGAGAGAAGAGAGAGAGAGAGAGAGAGAGAGAGGGAGAGAGAGAGAGAGGGCGGAGCTGCGAGCGGCGTGGTGCCCGGTAGGAGCGGCCCCGCGCCTCTCAACCTCTCACCTGTACAGGATCCAGCCGGGGTAAATGCCCAGCCGGGTCACGATCCAGATGAGCACGAACACGGCGAACGTTACGTCGCACCACATCTGTAGGTTCAGGTACTTGAACATCTTGGCACCCTGCCGACGGGAGAGTGGCGCGCAGCGGTCAGACGGCCGCCGGCGCGGCGATGACGCTGCCGCCGCCATGGACTGACACAAAGTCCTGGCGCACACAGCTGCGACCGAGCCCACTCCAAACAGCACGGCCGAAGACATGACGAACGCAGCAGATACGAACGCGAAAGATCGAAACGTGCGTGAAAACGGAACAACGGCGCGTATGGAAATAAAATACTTGAAGTGTTAACACAAAAAAACATCCAGAAACAATAAGAGGATTCGCTTCTGGGAGTCAAACCAGCCCAACACTACCTGCTGGAAAGTAGGAGAAATCTTGCTTTTGGCTTGCTTTTGGCTTTTGGCTTTTCGAAACGTTTGGTTTTTGCCCTGCAGTTTCACGGGCCGTCACGAAGGTCTACTGTAGTAAACATGTTCATCCGTATCGGCGTTCATTTGCATGGTTTTAACACCTACGCACTCAAGAAATGTCGTTCGTGAGCCCTGCGGGGCTTCTGCTTTCAGGCTTTGCCAAGTATTTTTCACGTGGCCTCCTAACGGCTTGACATTGCTTTCCTCAATATTTGTATTTTGATGTGTTTGAATATACGGTTCCCCAAAACCTTTGCTTGGCTTAAAACCTTATTTGAAAACGTTTAGAGCGCCAGTGTGAGTGAGTGAGTGAGTGAGTGAGTGAGTGAGTGAGTGAGTGAGTGAGTGAGTGAGTGAGTGAGTGAGTGAGTGAGTGAGTGAGTGAGTGAGTGAGTGAGTGAGTGAGTGAGTGAGTGAGTGAGTGAGTGAGTGAGTGAGTGGTGAGAGTGAGTGAGTGAGTAGAGAGAGAGAGAGATTGAGATGAGTGAGAGAGAGAGAGAGAGAGAGAGAGAAGGAGAGAGAGAGAGAGAGAGAGAGAGAGAGAGAGAGAGAGAGAGAGAGAGAGAGAGAGAAGAGAGAGAGAGAGAGGAGAGAGAGAGAGAGAGAGAGAGAGGCAGAGGCGAGAGATAGCGCGCTAGAGAGAGAGCGCATCGCTAGAGAGCGCGCGCGAGAGCGATATCGCTATACGAGAGCATCTAGCGGAGATACTAGATCTGGCTTTCTATAGAGCTTGCTTGTACTTGACGTTGCTCTTTCGCGTCTGCTCTCTTGTCAGCTTTCTCTCTCCGGTTCGTTTCTGCTCTGCGATCTCCTCTTTTCTGTTTCGTTGCGAGACGTTTTGGAAGGTTGCGGAGCTGGCGTTCAGCTAGGGAGGAGCCCCAAAATATTTCGGGTTTCAAGGAGCTCTGCCACTTGTCAGAAGCCGGGGCAGGGACATTGGAGGCTTGCAAGGCATTTCTTTCTAGGCATCGCACATACAGGAATGTTTCTAGCCCCCAAGTTGGGAAGCTGGACTCTATCCTTGTGGTGGATCTCCTGCTCGTCTCCGTCCCAGATTTCCCAGCTGGGATACAAGCGGCATACACACTAATTGGGTAACAACAGAAATCGATTTAAAGGCAGACCAAACGAATAGGTACTGAGGTGCACAGGGGCTGAAACATATCCTGCGCACTTCCGCTGCCCACAGAGTCGCACAGGAATGGAAGCAAACCGCATGGTTCAGAGCACCAGTGACGTCACATGCCTAGTGCCAGCTCGCCTTGGTATGATATTTGTGCACTTGACACCATGCGATGCTGCGCGGAGCTCAGAGACCCCAGAACCCCGTCATGTCCAGCCGTCAGAGCGGCGGCGAGTTCACCGACTGTCATCCCTCGCCTTTCGACCCCATGCCGGGAGCTCGTGCGGGGCGGCGGCGGGGCTAGATGCAACGGATTCCCGAGACAGCCGGGCCACGTCAGCCTGCCCTTCCCAGCCAGATGAACGGTCAACAAACAGAACGACGAGGACCCTGTGGCCCGCGGCCCGGCTCGTCAGACGGGCTCGCGGCATCAACACACAGACGGGCGGCCAGCAGCCGGCGCGGCGGGCCCCGGCCCTGGCCTTGAGGCCGGCTGACGGCGTCAACAACGCACCAACTGACAGCGCCTTGTTTTGCGCGGACAAAAATGCGTCCGCTTATCGTTTGCCGCCGCCCACTCGATGAGGGGCGGGGGGGGGGGGGGGTCGAAGTGATATGTCGCGTTGATTTGCGAAGCAGCGCCTCAAAACAGCCGAGGCTGCATACAGAGCAAGCTGGCAGTTAGGGATCGAGTGTGTGGTGCGCATATAGATATCCGGCCCCGCTGTTGTGGTTGGGGTAATCAATGACGATGCCTCTATAAAAAATAACGTGAAATATATTAAAAAATGAGTTTATTTGTCATCATCACCGCTGGTTCCAATATGTGTGAGTTGAATCAACAACTGGCTCCTTTATTGCTGTGCTTCGACTCCTGCACTCATTCGTTGTGCTTGTTGGCTGCTATGCGTGAGGTTGGGGTTTTACGAAGCGCTCGGCTGCTGGGGCCATATGGCGTCGCCTGCCTCTCACCCTGGCAGGAAGGGTGGGCACCGTGGAGAACCGAGCCCCGTACCTCTAGTTTCTCAGACGCGCAGCTTCACCACTACACTATCAGAACCCCTGCTCATGGTAGGCGGAGCAGTGCACCGCTGTCGCCAATAAGGCACGCGCCCCAGTCGCCAGACAGTGGCGAGGGCGTGCCAAGCAGGGGCGAGGCGGCACGTGTATCGATCGTGCAGAGTCTGGATGGCACGAGACGCCCCGGCATCACTGGCCGCGCATGCCGGCAGGGATGGGGGCACCAGCCCGCTGGCGATCACAGGCCAACATTAACGCCAGCACGCCGCTGATGCTGACGCAACACAACGTAACGCCTACTGGGGGAGTCTACCACTCCCAGAAATCGCTTTAACTCGAAACACGCGCAGGAGTTTTGACCTGCGGTCGCTCTTACTCGGTGGCGAGGAAGGTCCCTTCCCCGTCGCGGGGCGGTGGGGCATCTCGAGAGGGAGATGCCTCCCGTGCGCCGCCCGGCGCCGCAAGGTGCGCAGAGGTGCTTGCAGCGCCGTCGACGTTGCAACCGTCACCACTGCCCCCCCCCCCCCTCCCCCTCGCCGGCATTGACGTCGGTGCTGCCCGCTGCCACGCTCGGCGCCGTCGTCACACAACACACAGAACGGCGTCCGGGTGACGGCCGCCACCGCGGCCTGACAGCTGCAACAGAAAGTGAGACGCAGAGGTCCACCGCGGCCCGACAGGGACCCCCTCGAGAGGTCCACCACGGCCCGACAGGGACTCCCTCGAGAGGTCCACCACGGCCCGACAGGGACTCCCTCGGGAGGTTCACCACGGCCCGACAGGGACTCCCCAAAGCTTCACCACGGCCCGACAGGGAACTTCCAGGGAGACCCACCGCGGCCCGACAAGGGAGATCCAGCGAGGCCCACCACGGCCGGACGGAGGACTTCCAGAGAGGCCCGCGAAGGCCCGACAGGGACTCCCAGAAAGGCAGGCTGTCATGGCGGCACCCCGCAAAGACGTTCAGCCAATAGCTTGACAGGGCTAGGACCACGAGAGACTTCAGAGACGCCTCCTGTACAGCCCACTGGCAGGTGGTTCCACAGCAAAATAACGACAACAGTTTTTCTAGACCTTCTGAAGAAGGCGGAGATCTGAGCATGCAAAACAGCGTGAGACGTAATGGAAGGAGGACACAAGCTGGCAAAACAGCGTGAGACGTAATGGAAGGAGGACACAAGCTGGCAACTGGCCAGCTGCGTGCCATGTTTATGTTAGCTCCGAGCCGATGTAGAAATGGAAGGAGGACACAAGCTGGCAACTGGCCAGCTGCGTGCCATGTTTATGTTGGCTCCGAGTCGATGTAGAAAACACACTTGCAATGCAAGGTTGATCCAGCAAACATTGTCAGCGTGCGAGAACAAGACAGTGTTTGTGGTTGGATAAAAACTCCGAACCTAGCGACAATGTGCTACGAAGACGCATTGCAGGGGCCTTTGCCAGCACGTCAAGCAATCTTCCACATCAATGAACTTAGCCCGATCGCCTTCTCTGCAGTAGGCGTTCAGCTTATTCTTTGTACAAAATACCCGGCGCCAACGAACAATCAGTCCGTACTAGGCCCAGTTATTGTCCCACTTAAGGACTCATTATCGCTCACTCAATCGCCGCCTGAAGAGGCGGCACACCTGTGTGTGTTTGTGAGCGTGTGTCCAACAGATAACAGCCGGCACCGAGCTGCCTAACTGGGCGCCGCCTGGCGGCCGACCAGACGGCCCCGTTGTCGCTGCCAGCTGCCACGGGTCCCCAGGTGTCGTCGGGTCACCCCGGCCGGCAAACGGCGCCGCCAGCCGGCCAAATCAGCGCAGTCGCCGCTCGCTCAGCCCGAGCCCATTACGCCTACTCACGGGCCGTGTTGGCGCGCGCCGGCGGTGTCGACCATCAGGACGAGCCGAGCGCCGATACGCGGTTTTGTCAAGCGTGACCAGTCACCTGGAGCCGTCAGGGCTCCACATGGTGTCACCTGGAGCTGTCGGGCTCCGCACGGTGATCCGGCCAGCAGCGCAGGGGCGCCCGCACGGACCGAGGCTGCCAGCCGGCGGCCAGTGTCGGCGCGTGTTTCGCCGCTGGCAGCGACGGCTGCCCCGCCCGCCTCCCCCCTCCCCCCACAGGCACACAGCGGGATACGGGAGCGCAGGCCTGCCTTCAGAGCTCCACAGTCCGCATCCCGTCACCCGACCTGGGCGGCACCATACCGAGGTCACGCGCTTCGCATCGCGCGGAGATGAGGTCGGCCGCCGCGCCATCCCGGACCAATCCCAGCATCTGCCGGCCGGCGGTGCTATCTCCCAGCGGGGCCACTATCCGGCGCAGTCCCCGGCGAACCCCAGGCGGGTGGACGCTGACCGCTCGAGTCGACCCCGGTCCGACCGATACGCTATCTCGGGCCGGCATCTCCGGACGGCGCCGCACGGCCGGGGCCCGTCAATGCTGCGGAAAGTCGGCCGCACAGCGAGACCGGTCGCCGCCGACACGCCCCACTCCGGCCATCCTGACCGCCGGCCACTCAGCCGACGGTGCTTCTGGCAGGGCGGGCGGCTGCTGGAGAACCGGAGCGAGCCCGCTGGCGTCACCGGCGCTGCCGCCAGCCGGCTGTTTCATCAGCGCGGTGTGGCGGCTCCGGCGGCCGGGAGGATCGTCGGCGAGCCCGAGCGGCGCCGCCCTCCGGTTATCGACACACGTCTCCCCACGGCCGCCGGGTCGATCGCTTCGACCGGCGGCGCGCCTCCGCCATTGGCGGGCGGCACCGGTCACCAGCGTGTCACGCCACAATCGTTACGGGGCGCCGTCACACGGGCCGGCGGCTGCGCCGCAGCGGTCGCGTCCGGCCGGCGCCAGCGGCGCGGCGCGGCGCGGCGCGGTGCGGTGCGGTGCGGTGCGGTGCGGTGCGGTGCGGCGCGACGCGACGCGACGCGACGCGACGCGACGCCTACCAGTAGGAAGATGTCCGAGATGTCGTGCACGATCAACGTCAACGTGCCGATGCGGGTGAAGTTGCACGCCCAGGAGAAGGACAGCAGGCTGATGGTGACCACGTGGTGCAGCAGCATCTCCCAGAAGTCCTGCCGGCGGCCGCAAGGGGAGGCGTGGTCAGGTGCGGTCATGGAGCACGGCTGGGACCAGGGTCAGTGGCACGGAGATGGGAGGCACGCGCCCACGTGGCCACTGACCGACTCTTGGTGATGGAGCCCAACCGTTGGCCCTCACCAGCGGATAGCCCCCACAGCTGGCAGGCTCACCGGCTGGTGAAACAAAACAACAGATGACATAAAGACGGCAACTCGTTTCCACTCAGGTGTAACGTCGGACACCGGGGTACACGCGGACACAGCGGTGCAACGGCCTGCTCTCCTAAACTCAACGAGATGCAAGCCAAGCGATCAATCGGCTGACGGTCCACTGCACCTCGCCGCAGCACACAGGTGTCCAGCCCACTGAAACTTTCCGTGTGACGACAAATAACTGAGGGGAACTTCCAAGGCCAGCGAAAGTCCTTCCAGCCCCTTACAACTGAGTGGCAACTGAAGGGGCCGAGTGGTGCATAGAACGGGTCATCTTCAATATGGCAGCAGATGTGTCACATACCTTATGTTTCACGTCGAAGAAGTGTCGTAACGTCATGGACCAGTAAAAGCCGAGCGAAAGCATGTAGTACCACCAGACGTCGTTGTCAATGGGCTGCAACAGGACAACGCCGCGGTCAATAAATGATGTACACAGCTCAGCCGAATGCAACAGACCTCACCGCTGCAGACAATGACACGTGCTGGCAACGTGGGAGCTGGTTAGGGAACGCAAAAAAAAAAAAACGCTGAAGGAAGTCGTATTCTTCATCCGGTATCATAATAAGAATGCTGATGCCAGTCGTGGAGGCTTGCCGTGCTTGCCGCTGCATTTGCAGCACGAGGCGTAACATAGCCATGAGTCATCGCGCACAGCAGACATAACAATAGAAAGCCCGAGCACCGCGTCACGAGGCTGACTGGCTTTTAATGACGACTGGGCGCACATCTCGGGATCACATGACGTCAATATGTCGACTCCTGGTACCTCACAACAGGCGTAACTACACACAGTCCAGCAATTCCTTCACCCAAGGCGCTGACGACCAGCCGCCGTTAGCGCCTCGGATCTCCCGATCGCTGACAAGACTTGCGCAGCGACCCCCCCCCCCCCCCGTCGACAGCGCGCTGCGGACGTGACATCCGGGCCCCAGACGCGGTCCGATCAGTTGCGCCATCCCCTGGGGCTCCGCCGAGTGCGGCACGGTCCCCGCCGACGGGGGTCTCAGCGAGGCCGTGTGCCCACAGACGGACCGGGCAGCAGACCTCACGAAGGGGCCAGCGCTGACCTGATCCCAGCCCGCTCCCCTAACCTGATCTCAGCCCGCCGCCCCTGACCTGACCCGCCGCCCCTGACCTGGCTCGCCGCTGGGCTACAGTGACCGGGCGCCAGCAGCAGCCGTGTTGGCGCCACGCCCCTGCCGAGCAGCGGGGGCCGCCCAGCCGGCGGTCGATCGTGGCTCACGACCGCCGGCGGCGTTCACACGCACGGCCGACACCGGCGGCCGACCGCGCGCCCTCCGACCGAAGACATTCAGGCGGCCACAGCCCGTGATGACACGCCAGGACGCTACACTTGGGTGTGGGTGTGTACACAGCGAGCTCACCGACACTCCATGGCACATTTTTAACTGCACATCAAGATACCGACAATGGGTCGATACGATCCACACGCGCCGCGCCCCGACACACTGCAAACATCATCACACATCACGATGGGGCAGAATGGCATGCATTCGTCACGTGGCAATGACGACCGGAACTTGCCATATACATCGTGCGGTGTGTGCTGCACCAGCTTTCACTGCAGCCACGGACGATGCACCAGCGGCTTGGCCCGCGGTGTCGCCGGTGATCCGAACCGGGCCGAACGCAAAAAAAAAAACTGCTACAAAAGAGTGGCGGCCGAGTCGACTTCATTGTGCGGGGGGCTGACCCCCACCACACCGCACAGGCTCGCGGCCCGAGCGGCCCGGCTCTATCGCCACAGGAGGCGGCGAAGCTCGGACGATGACCAGGGACCATCCAGCCGGGCTCGCCCGTGCCAGTGGCAGCGGCGTTTGGCGGCTGAGGCGTTGACGGCGGACAGCCCTGGGGAGGACATGACCCCGGGACACCGGCAGCGGCCGACGAGACGGCGGGAAGAGCAGAGGGGCGGCCTCTCAGCGTCGTGACCCGACCTGACGTTCGGCCCGACCTGACCCGGCGTGTGACCCGACCCGACCCCGCCCGACGCAACACTCCAGCCGAGCCTTACCACTCTCGGGCCGGCCGTGCTCCGCCGTGGTGGTGCGGTCTGCACATGCAGACGGCGCCGTTATCGCGGCAGCCGATCCGCTCAGACCTTGGCGCTTATCAGCCAAGATCGATCCATCGCACAGGCGTCGGCCGGCCGCGGCAGCCGAAGGCCGGACGGCTCTGTTCCGGCACTCACGTGGAACGGCATGTTGTAGAAGCAGTGCCGGATCTCCCAGAACCAGGCCTTGTCCCACAGCGTGTGAAGGCCATAGCAGAAGATCGCCAGGTAGTACGTGAACTGCCACCTGGAACGGGATGGACGGGCGCATCAGATCAGAGGCCGCGCGGCGCGCAGTGAGCGACGCAAAGCACCGGTGAAGCTATGTTCCCGGAGACCGGTCGAGTGTGGACGAGCTCCGCAGCACATCGCTTGACATATGACAGAGCCTGTCATGGTCCGCGCAGCGCCAAATGCGTCGACGGGCCGACGGGCAGCGCGTTCCAGCCGGCGGAGTCCGAGGGGGGGGGGGGGACGCGTGGCGCCACCACCCTCTGAGCCAACGCGTGATGACGCACGGGGCACTCCCCGGGACTCGCCGCACCGGACAGAGCACGATCAATGCGGCCGGGCGGCCGCGCATCCCCAGCCGTCGCCTCCCGCCGTTACGCTGGCCGCGCCGGCGTGCTCCGCCGCCACCGTCGCGGTCAGGCCTTCTCCAGAGAGGCTGCCGCCTGGCGGCACGCGACGGGTCCGTCTAGCGAAAACGCCACGCCAATGGGGCGCCTCGGACGGCAGCCCGGCCCGGCCGGCCTCCAGCGGCAGGCGTTCCCACACCAACCTGTCAGCCCCCTCCCGGTGCCCACTCGACACCGCCGTCATCGGGCGCCGCGGCCGGCTCGCGGCCAGCCAGCAGAGCAGGCACCCGTCTCAGCGTTGTCGACCAGCGCCAGCTTCGACCCGCCCGCCGCGGGGCCGCCGCTGGCCCGGCCGCGCTGTTCTGGCGCACGGCTCCCCAAGCCGGCTCCAACACGCGAGCGGCCAGAAGAGCCGCGCTCAGCCTGCTGCTACGGCTTCGGCGCCGGCGCTCAATGCACGGTCATTCGGCACACCGCCGCAGCCGCCACGTATGGCTCGTCCTGACCCGAGGTGAGACGCGCACGGCGGCCCTGCCGCGATGCATGACATCACGCACCGGCGACCACGCCCCCGGCGCGTGTCATCGAAGGCGTGACCCAGCGCCCGTTTACGGACGGCCACGACGCGGCCAAAATCGATGGTGAGAGACCAGCGGCGGCACGCAGCAGTGGCGCAAGCGTGACGTACACAGATGAATCAGGCGGCGACGGCGGCGGCGGGCGGCGCAGGTGCGGCTCCTCACGCCGGCTGCGGCGGCGAACCTCAGACGCCGGCGCCGGCATCCGCACAGATCGGAGACGGAGACCGGGCCGCTGGTGAAGCCCGCTGATCGGTGGCGGCTCAGCTCGGCCACGCGGCGGCGGTGTAGAGCGGCGTGTACACGAGCCTTCCGGGTCCCGGAGCTCATCCCGTGCCGAACGTGCGCCGGCCGCGCGCAGCCTCCGCCGCGCCGCCGCGTGACGCTCGCCCAGTTGAATCCCGTCCAAGGTTCGTCGCACAGCGTCGGCGCGCCCTGTGAGGCCGCGCCGCCTGGACCCGTCCCCTGCGCCAGTGTTTACCGGAGGCGCCGGCCGCCACGCGTCGTTCCTACACGCCGGCGGCCGGGAGGCGGGCCTCAGCAGGGTTATAGTGGTCGCGCGGCGCGACAAAGACCAGCCGGCGGACGGCCGAGCTCCACGCGCCGCCGGCTCATCCCCGGCCGGGCCGGGCCGGCGGCGGCGGCCCAGCGCGACATGGCCGCTGGCACGCGCGCACGACCTGACGAGTATGTGGTAACCGCCGGCCGCGTGTCGGGTGTGGAGCGCACGACCGCTTCAGCTGCCTGCACCGCAGAGCGGGGGGGGGGGGGGGGGGAGGCTTGGCCAGCACGGCATAACACAGCGGATCAGCCAGCTGTGGAAGGTTCTGGCATATCTTGGTCCTGCGGTCAGGTTGGTGAAACGGACGGACCGCAAGCACGAATACTCACTAATCTTTCTCACCCTATTGTATGTGAATCATTGTGCGACATATGCATTTGCATCACCTGTGTACGGGATTTACCGGCTGCACCCTTGGCATTAATGACGCTGTGAATACCAGCGCAGTTCTGTAAGCAGCGATATCGGATGTTGAAAATAATCTGCCTCCAGCATACTGGACTGTAAAACTGGACGCTTGGACGCTGTGCCCATGGTCACGTTTCGTTGCAAAACTATTAACACCACCGTGATATTCTTTCACTCTTGAGCATACCGCAAAAAAATGTTTTGATTCAATTCCTTCGCACCCTTTCTGTGCTGTCACGACAGTAAATAATCCAAGTGGAATATTTACCGTCAAACTGTACTTAAAACCGCCCGGGACCCAAAATGCACTTAAGTCGGTCCCAATAACTCAGTTTTATAGAACGCCCGCCTGCTTTCCGATCCACCCACCGGTGGCGGAGTGGGTTCAAGTCGCTTTAGGCGTTCGTTGTTTGTCCGTGACTGAGGCAGGCTGCTGTCGGGACAGCGGCTCCGTTAACGGGCAGGCGACGCCTGAGGGCGGGTCAACCGTGCTGAGCATGGCGGCACAGTGAGCCTTCGCCGCAACATTCTGCCGCTCACACAGTATTTCACGACTGAATGGTGGGGTTAGGGCTCACGTAATCAGCGCTGCTCAATGTGAGCGCTCATCCCAGACATACATCCAATCAGAGGGCCCGGCGGACTAAATCTCAGCAAAAACTGACCAGAAAACCGCTCCCAACATTACGCGTTACAATTCGGCACGCCCCGGGGCTACTAAGAAAGCCGTTCTTATATCACAAATGCGAGAAGCGGGTGTGAGTCTTCTGACCTCCAGGCCTACAGCCGCGCTAAAATAGCTCTTCGTTTCCGTGAGAACAGACATCCGGGAACGGTGAGAAAGTTCTCCTAATTGTGACGTTAGTTCCCGGTTTAACAAAGAGGCAAGTTCTCGGTTTAACATGACAGCAATGTGAGATTTGAAAATAAGTCGTAGAAAGGCAAAAAACCGACTGTGCCAAAATAAATTACCGTTTATACAGTACGGCTCCGATAAATGTTACACAAGTTTTGTTCAAGAGTGACAAATGCACTTGCGCTAATCATCAGCACAAAACTATTATGCATTTCTTGCACAATCAAACATTTTGTGACATTCAAACGACCACTTAATCGTGAAATATTATCAATACATTGACAGTCATCAGTGATCCCACATTCGTCAAGCCGTGACTCTACAGAAGACGCCTCCTTGAGAATGCGAACGAGGATTCTGTCCAAACCACCTTAGGGCAATACATGGCTACCGCTCTGATAACCCTCTGGGCGGCCTTGGGATGTTTTTACGGCATCGATCGGGACGAGGAGTGGCTTCAGCAGGATGGGGTGACACCGCAACCGGCACGGGTCCCACTGGTTTGGTTCGAGAACCATTCGGCTGCGATATACATCAGTTTAAGACTGGCGCATTGCGGCCTCTCCTTCGCCCCGCCTGTTCACTGAGGACTTCACGCCGTGTGGAAACATCAGGGACCACGTCCACGTGGACAGGCCACTGAACCTTCCAAAGCTCAAGGTCGCCTCATACGTGGGGTGGGACGCATCGGTGTTCACAAGGTTAAACGGATAATCGCCCATGAGGAAATCGTCGGCTTTCCTTTGCCTGGAGAAGCCTGTGCTTTAAACAGCTACCGCGTAGCGCAGCGGCTTTTTTAGTCTTATCTACGCGAATTATCTCGTAAAAACCAGCCCACATTTGCAGACTGGCATGACATATAAGGAAGCTAGCGTAACACAAACATGACGCATGTGCTACAGGACAGTATTGGATACAACATGAAAATTATATTCATAATAATGTGGTTCGGTACCTGCGTAGCACTAGTTTTCAGGCAGATGCATTTTCTGCATTTCTTTGGTGCGGTATTCCCCTGTTTCGTCCATACGCATTGGGAGAGGCTCAGAGGAGCATTGAGGGACTCAAGTCAGCATTGGGGTGGAGGGGCTCAACCCCCACCCTAAAAAAAGCATACAAAGTGAAACCGCTGCCCGCCATCCTGCCCGACCGGAGCCGGAGTCCGGCGTACGGCGGGCGGCCACGGCTGACCACAGGCCCCTCCGGCTGCGGCGGCGACCCCGACCGCGGAGTGTCCCACCCCGCCCGACACTCACCCCGTCTCTGTGAAGCGCGTCAGCTTGTTAGGCGAGTCCTGCAGCTTGCGCAGTCGCAGCCATCGGTCCACCTGCCGCTCCGACCAGTCCAGCTCCTTGGCCAGCTGGCGCACCTATCGGCGACCGAGCGGACCGTCAGCCGCCGGCCGACCCCGACCACCGCCGCACGGACCCCCGTCCAGAGGGGCAACAGCGACGGCACCGGCCCGGTCCGCCCGCCTCCAGACGCCGGACGGGCAAAGTCGAGCTCTGAAATCCTTCGATCGCCAAACGCCAGGCTGCACACCCGACGGCCGGCCAGCGCGCGGCTCACCGGCCAACTGCCAGGGAGAGGGCGAGGGGAGGGAGGCACCGGTGCAGGCCAACAGCCGGGGAGCGGGCGAGGGGAGGGAGGCACCGGTGCCGGCCAACAGCCAGGGAGAGGGCGAGGGGAGGGGCGCACCGGTGCGGGCCCGCGGCATACCTGTTTGTGGGAGACGCGGCGGTACCGGTGCGGGCCCGCGGCATACCTGTTTGTGGGAGACGCGGCGGTTTTTCCTGTAAGCGTCCTCGAGCACCTCGTTGTACGCCACCCGCTTGGGCCGCATGGCCTTCAGGCCCATGGACCTGCCGACCGGCGCCCACACGAACCTGCCGGAGAGGACGGGCGCCCGGACGGCGTGTCAAGAGCGGCGGCGAGGCGGGATCGCACGCTCCAGCGGAGGGTCCCAGTGCTGGCCGGCAGTGACGTCCTGTCAACCGGGATCGGTCACCACCTGATGGCGGCCCCGTCACCAGCTGGCGTTGACGGAGTTTGGTCAACTCAGCACCCAGTCCGTGCGTGTGACATCCACCTGTTAGATGCCAGTGCCGGCCAGGTCATCGAATCGGACGGCGATTACGCGCCTATTGCGAACACTGCCATTCGTCGGCGTTATCTGAAGACGCCAGATCAGATTCCCCCCTACCGTGCGTCGTTGCTTTCTCGTCGCATGCAGAACATTACTGCTATCACATTCCTCCATATGTCGATTGCATGACCATGACTGATTACTGATACCATTACCGACCATTGGCGGGTATACAATCGACATATAGAGGGATGTGATAGAAGTAATGTTCTGCATGCGACGAGAAAGTAACGACGCACAGTAGGGGGAATCCGATCTGGCGTCTTCAGATAACACCGACGAATGGCGGTGTTCGCAATAGGCGCGTACTTGCCGTCCGATTCGGTGACCTGCCCGGCACTGGCATCTAACAGGTGGATGTCAGGCTTGGCCATAATAGCATATTGGCCGGGACCAGGTAAGCCGGTCCGTCACCGTGCCATGCGACAATATTGTTATCACACGGAAGACGTTCGCGCCAGATATTTCTGAAACGTAACTCGACAATTTCGAGGGCCGAAATTTGTTTATGACCATCCATAATGAATACCGAATCCCTGGTAATCCCCAATCCCTGGGTCGAGTGTATTCGGTGGTCACATCTCGGCTGTACCACCCCACACACAACGGCGAACTGCCGCACGCAACGCCGACAGGGAGACTCACCCCAAGCGCCCGAGCAGCACCTCTTATACTCCTTCCAAGTTTCATCCACGCAACACGATCTGCGTGCGACTGGCCGGCGCCACCGTGACGCACCCCTGCCGGCGTGCCTACGGGGTAACGCGCCGCCCCGAGCCCTGACTGTTTTCCTTACTCATCAGACATGAATCATCGTCCCACTCGGCATACATGTTGACACACAGTCTCGGGGCATGGTCCACCGCTACACCCACCCCTGATCTTCAAAGATCATACTCTCACACCACCCGTCATGCTATCCAATCACTCGACACACTCTGCCCATAAAGCTGGCCCGATTGTCGGCGCACACGCTGGCTGCGTCGCAGCGGCATCGTCGCGACTTCTTCCGCCGACTGCTCAGGACGGGCCAGGATGCCCACCGGTTCCGTCCCAGCCACCGTCGGTGCGTGCTCCGCGTTGTCCGGGTTGTCAGCGACTGCGCCAGAGGCCTCCTGGTGTGACGGACCCGCGGCCAGGTATGGGGGTCCGTCGTCCTTCTTGTCACTGGCGTCACATCGTGATGCATCGCTGTACCGAGGCCGCAGATCCCGCACGTGCCACGGTGCACCATCCACTTCGGCCACTTGCGATGACACGATCCGCGTGACGACGCCCTGCCGAGATGTTGCGGTACATCGCGTACCACGGCGGCGCATCCAGACGAGGTCATCAACTGGATGGCCGGCAATTTCGTGTGCAGCCATGATCTGCGCCTCGGTGTCCATGCTATCGCCGCCCTCCGCCGCATCAGCACCATCATTTACGGCGGCAGCTGCCGCACTGGAGCCGATGCGGATACTCTTGGCACGTCCCATGGCACCTGCACCCCCGGTGCGTGTCAGGATCCCAGCTGGCACATCGTCTACCTGAGTCCCGCGCAGCCATCCCTTTGGGACATGGGTCAGAGTATGCGCTAGGTTTTCATCCGACCACACCAGCGCGACTGTCAGCGTCAGGCTCAGCTCATCCACCAGCTGCCGGATGATGCCCACGCGTCGACGGATAAGCATCTCCCCAGCCGCGCGCGTTCGGAGGGGCGCGCGGCCGCTAAGGGCGTCGCAGGTCTAGCGATGCGCCGCGGCCAAGACCGTCCTCAGGTCGACTTCTCTCGCCCTAGGTGATGGCCAGATTTAGCCCACGGATGGTGACGTCCAGCTTTGCCATGTTGATGTGATCTGCGGCAAGTTCCTCAGGTCGCAGCCAACATTCATCTTCCATCACGCCGCCGTCCGGCGTCTCGACGACACCGGCCGCGATCGAGCTGGCGTCGGTCCAAACGATCGCGCAGCCTCCGGCTCAGCATCACTGGCCGCGCGCTGGGTCTACAGATGACAGGCGCTCGCACACGTGTCCGATCTGGGCGTGCAGGATCTCGTCAACCGTGACGTCATCCCAGCCGTCGGTCACTGCGTTCGCACGCCTTTTCAGCCACGCAGCGGCTGGCTGTGGCCGGCCGCTGCTCCACCGGCTTAGGGAGGCCAACCCGTCGCTACACCGGCCGCGGGAGACCGCTCCATCGCCCCACCGGCCGCGAGAGACCGACCCGTCGCTCCACCGCCCGCGGGAGGTTGCTCCACCGCTCCAGCAGCCGCGGGAGGCCCATCTCGTCGCCCCACCGGTCGCGGAGCCAAGTCTGACGTCCGCCGGCGTCCGGACGCTCACACCGCCCAGAGCGGCGATGCCCCTCATACCAATATCACTGTGTCCACCCCTATCGGGCGGATCGCTACCACCAGAGCCGAGGGCGTCACCGGACGCCCCGCGCTCAACACTGTCATCTCGCCGACGCCCCGGCACTCGAGCGTGCCGCCTCCTACCGTCGTTTCACGATACGGCGCGGCGTCCACCGCCTACACCGCCCTTCATTCACGATGTTGTCTGTGCGACCGGTGTCAAGCGGCACATTACATGGCTGTCCATCCACCGCCATCTGCAGCACTAGCGCTGGCATCCGTCCACTTCCAGGCATCCGCCCGGTCCACGCCTGCTGCTCGCCGCTAAACCCCGCCGCAAAGTCAGCTGCATCCACCTCCAGGCCTCGCTGGGTCACAGCTGCCGCCGCACAGAACCGCACGTCTATCGGCGTCCGCACGCTGATACCTCCCAGGGCAGTGATGCCACCCATGCCGAGCACGACGTCAACACCCAGCGGTCGGTACGGCACTACCAGGATCTCGAGCGTCACTCGACGGTCCTTGGTATTAACCACCATGCTGCCGGTTCCGCAGCATCCAAGTTCCCGGCCGCCAATCGTGGCCACTCTCACCGTCCGCGGTGTTCCTTGTTCGCAGCGGTCAGCGTACACGAGCGCGTCCGCGCAGCCCGCGTCCACCAGCACCCCGACCGTCCGCCCGTCCACCTTCAGCCAGGTGATGGGCAGCGCCCCTCAGTGGCGGGGAGACGGCGTTCGCGCTGACGCGGCGTCCCCCGACTCGCTTCCCGTCCGACGCCGCGGGCATGCGACGACTACGTGGCCCGACTCCCCGCACGTCCAGCAGCGCCGCAGTGGGCGTCTCGCCAAGCGCGTCGCCGGGGCTCGCGGAGGCGCCTCTGCACGCGCCACAGCGACGCGCTCATCGCCGAGCACGGCTCGTGCCCGTGCCAGAACGCTCGCTAGGTCCAGCACCTCTGCGCGGGTGCCGGCCCGGATCGTCTTGCAGACTTCCTCCGGCAGGACGGAGACGAATGCGCCGACGAGTGCGCTGTCAGGAACTCCGCCGAACAGGGTCCGCCGAACAGACCCGGTGCCGGTCTGCAAGACCTGCACCGGGTCTCGGGCATTCTGGCCGAGGTAGCTCGTATTCGGTGGTCACATCTGGGCTGGACCACCCCACACACAACGGCGAACCGCCGCACGCAACGCCGACAGGGAGACTCACCCCAAGCGCCCGAGCAGCACCTTTATACTCCTTCCAAGTGTCATCCCCGCAACACGATCTGCGGGTGACTGGCCGGCGCCATCGTGGCGCACCCCTGTCGGTGTGCCTACGGGGTAACGCACTGCCCCGAGCTCCGACTGTTCTCCTTACTCATCAGACATGAATCATCGCCCCACTCGGCTTACATGTTGACACACTGTCTCGGGGCATGGTCCACCGTTAAATAGAGTCATAGGCTGATCCCTTCACGAACCAGGGTGAAGAGACGGAGAGTCCACCGCTTGCGCCAGTGCGCGCTGCCGGCCCCAACGTCCTGCAAAGCGACGGCCGGCCTGGCATTCCCCGCGCCAATCACCGAGCCGCCGAAACCACACACGACGACCACCCACAACCGCAGACGACGACCAGCCAGCGACCGCCTCGCGGCGCTCGACGCGTCCGCACGACGCCACCGAAGGGTCAGCAGGTAACAGTTCACGCGCTCGCGGCACAGCTGGTCGCGTGACACGTTCAGAACGCTGGCCAACCGGTGGCCAGCCAACGGCGGCCGTCGACACGCAGCGGACCATCACAGACAGGCCCCGGTCGCCAGCGTTCCCTGACCCTTTGGAGCCAGACTCAGGTCCACCGTTCTACGTGCGGGCCAAACGTCAGGCTGCTGAGAAATATCCGCGCAACGCCACACAGGAGTTTGTACACGGGCGGAGACAACTTTGGCGAAATGCAAGCATGGCGTGTCGAGAGATCGGAAGTGGGCATTATGACATATGCTCCATCTCCACTCCACAACGAGAAATGCAGAGAACGGACTTGGCACCAGAATGGGCAGCTTTCAGCCATGGAAGGCAGCCTCAGACAGGGCCAGTTCAGTCCCGCCCATGTCCGGACTGACCAGGCGTGATAGGTCGGCGCACGAGCGACACGAGCTTTGTGACTGCGAGCTTTGTGACGAGCTGCTAGCGGCCGCTCCCTGAACGGGGCCATCAAATCGCCAACAACCGCTCAGTGCCTGCGTCACCCAACGCTATGCCGGCTGGCATCAAACGCACAAAGAACCCTCCACGCAACGACGCCCCCGTTCACCTCCGCTCGCAAAAACGGCGCGGCGCAGCGGGTCAGGCGCCACGTGCCGGATCCGACCGGCCGTACAAAGCCAACCGGACCGGACCGGAGCACGAGTGGTGTTAATGGGTGGCAA